TATGTTAGAACATTAGGAATAATTTTATTGCACATTTACCTGGTGCCAGTTTTTGTGATGTGTTATTTTTCTGTTGGCATTTAACATGATGCTTGAATTTCCTCACATGGATTCCCAAGTGATTGGAATAGAGTTCCTAAGCCACATACGCAATTCTCAGGTATAAGTGGAAACTTTTATTAAGAGTAAATGATCATTCAGAGTGAAATTAAATGGTAGTTCATAGAACAATAAGATTGGTGTTTCTCAAATAGTCTTTCTCAGAGTACGATGCGTATGTGTGAGAAACACTGCATGTTTCATCCCCACTTTGCCGTCTGGGAGATGTCTGTTTACATGTTAAAGTTTCCAAAGACCTCTAGTAAAGAAACCTCATCAATTTTGTTCACTCCAGATTTACTCCCCAAACTTTTATTTGAACAGATGTCCTGTTTAGTTATGGGATATGCTCACTTAAATGTGTTTATGTATGACAGCATTGCAGAAAGTTAGGAATGCTTAAGGCTACATCCCTGAATATTTCTAGAGTAGTTATAGCTTTCAAAGAAGACATCGATGAGGTTTGTAATTAATGAAAAAGAGAAAACTGGCTTAGACAGATCACTCATCTGCCAGTTTTTATATCCTTATTTTACAAAAGAAATGAATATAGAATGAGAAAATAGATTATAGAGATGATTAAGTTCTTGCTAGGACCTTCCCATAATTTCAGTGTTTCTGGGCTTGAGTTTCGTAGTGCTGTACATGGATATATTTCCCACTTACTGATTTTTGTACTTCGTGTTAGACATGGAACAGTTGGATAGCTGCTGCCCCTCATTTCCAGTTTCTCTTCCTTCCCATTTCCTGTTGTCTAACTTTGTTCCTTAGGTAATCAAGATAATGGAAAATTGAGTATCTTCTGTTTCTTTCATCTTCCACTTTGTGGAGTTTGAGATGGGTGATTAGTATGTCATCATTCATCTTCATGTAGTGTATGATAGGTAAATTTCCTGACAGTCTTTCGGGGTTGGCAATTTGCTGCTAGATCAGTGCTTTTGTGGCTGTACTGTGATTTTTTAGCTCTATCACTATATTACTGTTTTTTTGTGTGTGTGCTCATGAGGAGACTATTGGAAAATTCTGTTGGAAAAACATTTACTATGTTTGTAAATTTTTACAAATGGATAAACTTAAGTGAACCAGATGAGATGCATAATCATTGATTTGGCTTGAGACAGTCTGTGAAAAGAAATAAGCAATGACTTTAAACCATACTGTTTTTATTGTGAATTACAAAATGTAAATTCATCTTAAAGCATAACTTTTTAAAATCTGTTTTAATTCATCTGAAAATTTGTAAGATTTTAAACTGCTATAATGATGGTTAGGTTACAAAGCATAACCTGCAGTTTCTGATTTTACTACACATATGAATTAACTTTATTGTGCAATACATTTTTACAGATTTATTGATAAATTTCTACTCTCAAAAGATCTGACTCATAATGAGCTTAGATATATCTGTTTTCTGTTTTTGGTTATGTAAGCAGTAAACGATGGTGATTTCCATCCCTTTCACATTATTTCCATAGGAACTTAGCCTAGATAAAAAGAGGAATTAATGAATACTCTCATGTACTAGTTTGCAAGACTAATAGTGCAAATTTATTTCTTTCCTAGGGAAAACAAAGTGCATGATGAAGTCTTCAGACTGTGTCATAAAGCATGCTGGTGTCTACAGTACTGGCCTTGCAATGGTGGTAAGCCGCTTATCTCTTAGACTAGTAGGTTTCCAGGGATTAGAAAAAGTCATTCTGACAGATGATTATTTTTTTTAACCATTATATTTTATAACTATAACAGCACTGCTTTGTCCCTTGGTTCATTCAGTCTGGAGTTACCTGGATTATCAGTGGCATGTTCTTCATATGATTTTCCTTTATTACCCACTTGCTTTTGACTGCTTTTCCTTATTACTCGCTTTTGGCTACTTCCTTTTTTCTTATTGGGAAACATACAGAGAATAGAAACTTATTTACTGTTGACTTAAACAGAAATTAATCTGTCAATGTTACCTTTCTAATGTGTCTTAATTAGATTTCAAAGAATATCATTTACTATACTGAAAGCCCTGGTTAACCAAGGTTCAAGCTTTTGGTTAAATAAGCAACCTAGTTTCAAAAGAACTTGTATGTTTCAAAAAATAAAAATAAAAAATAAAAAGAGTACATACTTAACACAAAGTTATACATAATTTCTTCCTTACATGTAGAATTTTCTAAGGAAATTCATTGTTTTAAATAATAAAAACTGTTGCTATGTGTGAAGTATTTTGCTCTCTTTTTCACTAAAAAATGTTATTTCAACCAGTTTTATTGTTCTCTATTGTGTAATTTTATGCTTAGGTTAAAATTTCAGCCCATGAGGAAAGTAATACTATTTTACACCAAGCAGAATATTTTACTTATAATAACTTTCCAAGAATGTATTTTCCATCATGAGGCAGACTTTTTTATGATATATTTCATATGTGCATATCTTATAGAAGCAAGGAGCTAGAATTATGCATGATCATCTTATAAATCCCTCATTATTTTAAATATAAGATTGTCAATGTTACCTTTCAAAAACCATTCAAAGATTTAAAACCACTGTAATATTTCTTGGTAGCTTACTTATGTCTATATTAATCGAATACCTTTTTTTTTTTTTTTTTGATTCATTGAGTTGTATGAGTGTGAATGATTTCTTTTATAAAGAAGACATTTATAGAACCATGCATCATTAGCTATAAATTCTAGAAAAGTGGTTTTCTAGAAATCTATTTGCCTGTTGAGATTCCCTCTCCCTTCACTGCTGTGCCCTGGGAGCCTGACTGGATCAGTGACTTTCTCACCTTATGGCTTTTCTTTGGGTTCAGCCAATGGAAGGCCCTGGCAGGAGACCTGAAGATGGGAGGAGAATGCGATCTGGGCATTTATTCTCCCAGCTCACTCATTCTCTAGTGGGTCTTCCTGGCTGGGACATGGATTGGACACAGTTCCTGTCCATGTGTCTCTCTCGGGGTTCCAGTAACTCCTCCCCCTCCCCTTGTCCTGTCAGACCCAGCGGTGGTAACTGCATCATCCCTCGATGTGTTTTCTGGGCCCTTCCCTGTCCTTTGTAAAGTATCTCTCTTAAATTCTCCTGGATTCCCCAGTTTAGTGTGCCATCTCTTTGTTGCTACAACCCTGAGCAATCCAAGAGACATACTTTTGAAGATTTGCTTTCTACACCGATAATCCATTTTTATAAGTCGAAAAGCATTCTTCCTCTTTGCTGTATACTACTTTTGTTACAGAGCCTTGAGTGGTAGAACCCTGCATTAAGATTCAGAAAACTTGGTTATGAATCTCAGCTCCTCTGTAATGTAGCTTTAGGATTGGGACTCAGCCGCAGGCTGTAAAGGAAAGATCATACAGCCCATTTCCTTGAAATTCTTTCTAGCCCTTAATACTACGTCGATGTCATGTTGTTGAGAGATAATAGTTTTACCATCCTGTCTTGACATAGATTTGGAGAGGCTTACTCTGTCATTTAGTTCTATATATTTTAGTGACATTTTTTTCCACAAAGAAACATAATAAATGTTTTCAAGCATAAGTTCCCTTAAAAAGATATTGACAGAAATTTAATATTTTCAGTTATTTTGGAAAAGCTATGTAATTATTGTATACATTACACAGATAAGGACTTTTCATAAGTCAGAAATATTAGTATTTGAAAAATTCAATTTTGTTACTAGAATTGCTATAGACAAGAATGCTTAAACTGTGGACTTTAGGCTTTATTTGAGTTAGAATTCAGTTCGAAGGCCCTGCTTCAGTTCCTTGACTGACTTCGGTGATTGGTATTAGGGTAGGTGTATAGTTTCCCCCTTACTTTTTTTTCTTTTGATTTCTAACTAAGGTTTTATATTATAAGTAGCTGTCGGTAAAGTAATTTTCAGAGAATCCTCTTTAATTTTGGCTTAATAAAATTTTTTCTTGAACAAAGCCACCCACTATCACTGAGGGTTGATGAGTCACTAAATGTATACAATTTTGATGGTCGCTATTAGTTAAACAATGGTTGTAGCCAGTCAAGTGATAAAGATTAATTTGTCCTGTTCTTGGTTGCAGGGTGCAATATGTGACTTCTGTGAGGCTTGGGTTTGTCACGGTAGGAAATGTCTCAGTACGCACGCCTGTGCCTGCCCTCTTACTGATGCTGAGTGTGTGGAGTGCGAACGAGGTGTCTGGGACCACGGTGAGTGAGTACACACAGGCAGCGAACTTTGCTGTAAGTGCAGGCTGACTTTGAAACATTCTGGATGCTCCTTTTAAGACTTTTTTCAGGATACCGTCCATCCTAACTACTGGCACTGTTTTGGTTATCAGTTTAGTTGGGAAAGGGATTTACACTCACAGTAATAGTCAGTGCTAGGACTGGCTACCAAAACAGGAAGGGAGGTTACAGGAGAACAAGTGTCTTTGAGTGTTGTGTAGCGGGGGGGAGGGAGAGTCCACCTTTTTGTGGTTCGTTTGGGCAGTTTTTATTGTAGCGTTTCCCAGAACAAAACCTCCTGTGCCATTTGGTAAATCTGAAGTAACTTGCCATCCTTTCTGAACAGTTTTATAGATATGGGTTTTTTAAATTAAAACCTGTACTTATATTTGTGGGTTTTGTTTTTTAATTCAATAGGAGGCAGAATATTCAGTTGTTCTTTTTGCCATAACTTTCTCTGTGAAGATGATCAATTTGAACATCAAGCCAGCTGCCAGGTTTTAGAGGCGGAAACATTTAAATGTAAGTTTTTATATATTAGATGTTCTTTATACCCAAGTTTCTTAATAGTCTGTGTGAAACTTAATGAAAAAGGAATCTAGTTTTTCACGCAGCCTCTTATGGACTATAATTGAACTCAATATCTATTTTCTGTTTGTAGAAAAAATTTATAACATCCATTTTTTTCAGCAGGGGTGTCAGTGGCACTTTGATGGGGTCAGTTCTTCATTTTGTGGGATCGCTCAGGCATTACTGGTCCTGAACACTAAATGTCATTTTCCCCTACAAGTAATCGTAACAACCCTCGTGCCCTCCTCTCCCCGCCACTTCCAAATGCCCCCGAGTAAGTGGTACCAGCCCCTGTTCGTTTTTAGTGATTCTTAGATTGGACTATGCATCAAAAACACCTGTGGAGGTTTTAAAAAAATACAGGTGCCTTGGCATCATCCTTGGAGATTCTGTCTTTAAGTCTGAGGTGGGTGCCAGGCATATGGATTTACCTGCACACATAATTCTCATTTATCTTCCAGTTTGAAAACCACTGTTACTGACTGGGTCGATGGTATCATCTTCACAGATAGATTGCATTTTATTTCTACTCTACTGATTCTCAAAAGCTCAAGTTTTGGAGTTAGACATTATTTGAATTCTACTTGTCTATGCGATTCTTTCTAAATCTGAGTTTCCTTAAAAGGAAGATGCTGATTTCTTTTCAAAGAGTTAACCAAAATGAGAATCTATATAATGAAAAGCATTAGTTTGGTACCTGGCACTTGGAAAGCCCTTATTAAATAGTAGAGCCCACCATAGGAAAGACTGAAATTCCCCAGATACTCACTTCATTGCATTTGGTTCTTATTCTGCTATGAAATGCTAATTTTTATATTTATCTATAAAGTTGATAAATTATTCATACATATATATGTGTGTGTATAAATAAATCTTGCAATATTTATATAAAAATTCCCCAAGAATAAAGGAACATCTCAAAGTACATAGCAGTTAGTTTCTTCCTTCTGGCTGGGGAATTCAATCTCCTTTTTTTAGATCTTCTAGGTTATGAGACAGAAAAAAATGTTAATAATTGATCTAAGGTAGTACTTCAAGTGCAAATCTGGAAAATTCTGTTTTCATTCCAAGTCTGAATCTGGATGTTCCTTATTTCCTCCCCCACCAGGTGTTTCGTGCAATCGGCTTGGTCAGCATTCTTGTCTTCGCTGTAAGGTACACTTGTGTATTTTTTATTTTTAGATTTTGTTTTTAATCCTTTTACTCCACCAACAGCCCTTGGGTTACTTATAGCTATAATTAATCTACAAGGATCCTTAAATATTTAGTTCAGAGATTGTAGAATTGAATTGAGAAAGCTTGGTGACTTTCCAAAGGTCATCCAGTTAGTTTGTTTTAGAGTTGACACAAGTACACATGCTTCCTGTATCTTTGCTCAGTATTTTTACATCTTACATTTATGGAGAACATTCTGACCAAAATGATAGGAGTATATTTTAATTAATGTCAGTGTGTACTTGCTGAGGAGAGTTTGAGTGAAGATTTCAATAATGTTTTATTTCCTTTGACCTTGTCTCCAGCGTTTCTGTTTGTTAAAGATCACAATAAATAGAGCTGATTCACTTCCGCTCGGAAACATGTTTCTGGTTCTTATTTATATTCCTAACCCTGTCTTATTTCTCTCCCAACACTTCTCCAATTTTGTGTATTCTGTTTCCTCTGCCTTAGATCCCTCTTCCATCTCTGCTTACCCTACTGCACCCCCATTCTCCTTCAGATCTCAGCTAAGACTTCAGGTGTCCCAGGAAGTCTTTCCTGAATCCCGTGTCTGGTTTAGCATCCTTCCTCTGCACTTCTCTTTCAATGCGCAGTGCCTTGCAGATGTCTCTCCACTTTCTGTGCCCCCAGTTAGACTGTACACTACATGAGGATCAGCAGGCTCTTCACCATTATGCATGTCATCAGGGGCATTGTAAATACTAATATATTTATGAATGAATAAATGTGTCTACATGTCGTACCCTATGTATAGTTTCTGCCATGTTAGCGTATAGTTCAGAAGAACCCTGACAAAGACCATCGCCTTTAAGAAATTGAAATCAGGAGTGTGACAGTCGCAATAAAACTCTCTATCTCTGCCCTAACCAAATGATATTCCTTGGAATATCGAATGACGTCTTTGTGTATTTTTTGAATTATTTATTTACTTGCTTATTTTCGCACCTCTGTTATAGGCTTGTTTCTGTGATGACCACACAAGGAGCAAAGTATTTAAACAAGAAAAAGGAAAACAGCCTCCATGTCCTAAATGTGGACATGAAACTCAGGAAACTAAGGATCTCAGCATGTCAAGTAAGGCGCTACTTAAAATACCAATGGGATGATTTTGCTTTCGTGCTTGCGCAAGATTTCTCTCTCTTTTCTCTATTTTTATTTTTGCCTCTTCTTCCTGTTTGAAAAGATGAAGGTGTTCTCTTAAGAAAGTGGAATTTTATAGCCTTGGGAAATACATGGGTAAAATTTCTCGATTTAACTTAAGAAATATGCCATCATTCATTATACTGGCATTTGTCTCAATTCATGACATAGTGAATACTGAAATTTAAGATTGTTCTGTTTTTGCTGAGGCTTTCTTGTTAAATAATTGAGTAGTTATAAAACCTTAATATTCAAGTGCTGATAATCTTCAGTCCTTGGAAGTTGGAATTCATTCTGAAGCTCTTCTTAGGTGTGTAGTATTTGAGCAGCTGTTTTATGGTTTTTATATAACTTTTCTTTGAAGGTATAAGACTAGTACAAACATGTTTATAAGTAATGTACTCATAATTTTGTTAAAAAGAATTTGACTCTTTAGCAAACACATCAGAATGGAATCATAATTCTAAATGACTTTAATCAAAGATATAGTTCTGCAGTGAGGTAAGACTGATAATTTTGCTGATTTTTTTGTGCCAAACCGTGTTGCTACTAAGGCAGAAAAAATGAAAGCCTTTGTCTTCTAGGACATCTGAATTATAAAATTGCTCTCAAGAAAAATGTAATGACATTTGAAATCAACTCTTTTGTGGTTTGAAAATAAACTTTTAATTGATCAAACAAAGGACATTTTGCACATGCCTTATTTAACTTATGGTTGGCGAGTGCTATTGTTCCTATTTGGTTTTCTAACTTTTTCTAGATTTAGTGAAATGACACTCATCTTTATTTGTTACATATATACGTTACATATATGTGTATGGAGATTCCAAGTAGGATGGAACTGACTGACTTTTTTTAAGGTCTCCTTTCTTTCCACTTAAATATTAAGTGAGGAAATTAGGAAAATGTGGCTCATGCCATGTACCTATCTGTCTTTTGTAGCACGCTCCCTGAAATTTGGCAGGCAGACTGGAGGCGAAGAGGGAGATGGAGCTTCTGGGTACGATGCCTATTGGAAGAGCCTTTCATCTGATAAGTATGGTGATGCCAGCTTCCATGATGAGGAGGATGAGTATGAAGCCGAGGATGACGAAGAGGAGGAAGAAGAAGGTGGAAAGGATTCAGATGCTGAGTCATCAGATTTGTTTACTAATTTGAATTTAGGAAGGACCTATGCCAGCGGCTACGCTCACTATGAAGAACAAGAGAACTAGGAGAGCTGCTTGCCCATCGGTGGCCTGCCTGAGGTGGGCAGGAAATTGTGAGCTTGATGACTTGTGTGTGGATGTTTGGAAGTACTGTCACTTAGCCTTGTGCAAAAGACTAGTCACAATTACCGAAGCAAGGAGTGAGTAGGGCGTAGCATTTTTATAGGAACTGATAATCAGGCTTATAGCGTAAGAAAAATGAATTTCTAATGTAAGACGTTTATTGATCCAAGCAACTGAAGCATCGTGGATTGGATTTTTTCCGATTTTAGTAATCTGGTAGGTTTTGCCAATTAAATATAAATACATATACGGGATAATGGAATAGGATGGTAATATATTTGTTTGGAATTAGATCGCTGTTTTTATGGAAAAAAAACTGCTTATAAATTCGCTTTGTCTGACTTTGTAAAATGTAATCGGTAAAATGAATTATTGTATTTTTCCTTGTATGTCCATAGGATACAAGTCAGATGTTATATGCTACATTTTCATTAAATCTTCACGTTATCTTGTGTAGTCATGATGTGTATGTTTTTGGAACTGATTCATTTATTTCTTTCTTCACAATATATGTTCTGGACAGTACCTATTATTAATGCCTAAATGTATAGACAAAGGTGATTATATACCCATTTTTCAGAGTCACAGAATCAGAAACAGTATTATTACACAGACGTTTTACCCAGGAAATTTCATTTCTCTTTGAATAAATCTAGTATCACAGTTACATACTTTTGATATTTAATTTCTTGTTCTCAATTTTTAAACCTTACTTTGGAAACCATTCCAATATCTTTGAATAATCCGTTTGCTTCGTTTTTTTTGGTTGGTTGGTTTTTTTTTTTTTTTTTGTGAAACCTTACTTTGGAAACCATTCCAGTATCTTTGTATAATCCGTTTTCTTCGTTTTTTTTGGTTGGTTGGTTTTTGTTTGTTTTTGTCTAATATGTGAAATTAGGTAGCAGAGACTGATACTGTTGTAGACACAAAGTTGTGAAGCCAGACCCCGTCACTCAGGTGGAGGTGGAGAACATGCAGTCGCCGGCACTAGTTCCAATTGTGAGAACTGGCGATGAATTGGGATGGAATGGTAGAAACGAATGCATTATCGGACTGGCTGGCATTTGACAAGTATGGAGAAAATCGTAACTGTGAGGGTAACAGGGTTGGATAGCTGCTGCTCAGCCATTCGTATTCTATAGAAACATAACGAACAGCTTAAGGCAATAACAGGCAAGGCGAAACCAGGTGCGAAAGCAGAGGGACTCTGGATGCGTGCGGAAAAAGCTTTCATCTCTTGCAGCCGCAGGGCTGAGAAAACAGGTCCAAGTCCAGGACTTAACAGTCTCAAACTTCAAAGACATCGCCAGTCAAGGTCAAGGCACTGTTTGGGAAGATCTGAGATCCTGGCAGGTGAAATGGAGACACCTGTATGGATGCTGCTGAATGCTCTTACTCCCCAGACTGCTGAACTTTCTGAGCCTGCAGTCACAGCCTGCCCCACCTCTAAGGATGAGCATCCCCCTCCCCACTCCCAGCTGGATGACAATGCAGAGGTGTCTTTCCCCAGGCAACATGTGTCCCCTTCAGGACTTGCTCTATAGCCAAGATACTCGGTGTAGAATAGCAGTTAAGAAAAACTCACTGAGAGATGTGCTGGGCCTGAAGGCAGGAGAAACAGACCACTGTACCCCAAAGGAGCTGCCAGAATTGGCCAGCATGTGATGGGTGGAGCAGGAGGAATACACTTGAGACGGGGACCTTAGGGTATTGATCAAGAGTGTCAGAACAAAATTAGAGGGCTAGATAGCAGCAGCCACACTAGGTCCTTGGGTTGCCGGATAAGAGGTATCTTAAATTAACAGGCAAGGATCCTGGGAACTGGTATGAACGCAGTATGGCTTCTAGAAACATGGAAAAAGCTATGGCCAATCTGAGCAAAGCTGAAATGGCAGATGGTGGAGGAAGGGTTTAAAAGCGTGAATGAAGGAAGTGGATATGCTGGAATGTGGATATGTCCTACTGGAGGGCCTAGGGACAAACCATTTAACAAGGCCATGTTTAACTTTGGCTGGACGATCCATCAGATGATTATGTCCTAGTGGAGGGCCTAGGGACAAACCATTTAACAAGGCCATAAAGAGGAGTGTTGACAGGGATGGGGAGGGCACCAGGGCCACTAAAAGCCTTTAGAGGTGACTCTAGGCTACTGTTAATAGGAACAAACTACTACAAGTCTTGCTGGTGGCGATGGGCAGTAAGACCCTGAATTAATGGTGGCCAAATGGAAATGACTAATTGCCAAAAATTGGGGTTACAATTAGAATGATTCAAGCTGGGAGTGGTCAGCCAAGGGGGCTGACCTGCAGAGTTAAAAAGAAGGCTAATAGAATACATCAGCCTTAGGGTCAAAATGAATTCACTGCGGGACATTTTTCTTCCCATCTCTGACTCTGGGCTCTGCATGATTAGAATTTTATGTCCTGCAAGAGGGTGTACCTTTCCTCATGGTACCCAGTAAGCACTCTGATTAATTATCAACTATATCTTTCAACTTGGTATTTTTGGCTTTTTACGTCCAGGGATCAATATGCAAGACGAGAAACCACTGTCTTGGCAGAGATAATTAACTCTTCATCAGGAGGAGGTAGGGCTGTTGTTTGTTTTTGTTTTTTGGTTTTTTTTTTTGCATGATGGGGACAGGGAGGAATATGTGTGGAGCCCAGGTGATTCACTTGGGTTTTCTAGGTACTTCTTTGCTTACCTGTGACTATGAACGGACATGGCAAACCGCCCCAGCCAGGGAAGGGCATGGTGAGTAGATCCCTGGGGGATGGGGTCTGAGTCATGCCACCAGGTAAGCCACAGACCAGCAGGAGCAGTCAGGCAGTTTCAGGGTCTGCCTCAGCGGCACAGCTGCCTTGGCTGGATCGAGCCTTTCCCAGGCCAAAGCCTGTGGTGACTGAGTAACGGCTTTGGCTATTTTGGCTCAATACAGCTCAATTATGACAAATAGCTATTAAGCTAATTTCCTTATATGGAATCTAGTAGGTGACATTTAATAACAGGCAAATATATTTTCTTTTTCATTTTGGTCATGGTTTGGTAAACTCTTTGCCGGGATATTGTAATAACATGTGTGGGTGGCCTTTATAAGTCACCTACAAGCTTCTTCTCATGCAGAATGTATTAGTCCATTTCAGAAAGTGAACAGACCATATAGAATGCACACCTGTGCTTTACAGAATGATCCTGGTTACTTATTTGCCTAATGGGATGAAAATATGTTAAATCCTTAATCATGTTTTGTGGAGTCAGACATAGTACAATGATGTTAGATATATTGAAGCATTGTTAATAAGGAATCAGTTAAAATACAAGGTATATAAAGTCGCCATGGAGCCTCAGGAGTGTTTCTGAGAAAGAATCTTTGTGGGAAGGAAAAAGAGTACTCTAACTGCAATTTGCTAATTTCCTATACTACCTTGAGAAGTCTAGCTGTAAGTCTATCTAGACTCAGGTTTTTCTCCTCCTCTCAAGGGGGTAAACCAGGCTCCAGCTGGGCCCCCTGCCCTGTGCTGTGACTTGCAAAATCTCTTAAGGCAATTAGTTGGGGGCAAGTTTAAGGCTCATCTTGTGTGTCTCTCTTAGGGATCACTGTCCACTTCATTACCTAATGTCCTGTGTCTTGACAACTATAATTTCTTATATTTTGTCCCATAACCCATTTCCCCTCTCTCAGGTGGGAGAGTAGATCTGGTCCCTGCTACTTCATTCTGGCTGAAGTACAGTCACAATCGTGACATATTTTACTGCATAGAAATGTGTCCTTTAGAGCTGACTCTTCTTTGACATATTGTTTTCCATCCACATTTATAAGGATTCCGTTAGTATTTTTAATCCACCAAAGAAAAAATGGATGACAAAAATCTACTTGTAATGCCATGTGTATCTATCTCTAACTCTGTTAACTTAGTTATACATATTGAAGTCTTGCTTTAAAAAATCTTGTCAGTGGTCTTTCTTACTCCCAACTTTATATTTAGGTGATAAAAGTTTTAAAAATTATATTTATTGTAGGTTTTTAATGTTTTTACTTGTCAGGAGGAATCATGGCAACCAATGATTCATGCTATATTTTTTTAATTTTTAAAAGTTACATTTCCATATTCAGAGAAGAAAAGTCCCAAGGCTAACTTGGTGAGAATCTTATAGTTCTGATAGATCTCTTGGGGGGCACTTTATTCTCGTTAATTTCTATACACTAAAATATTAGGCGTCTGTGGCTCCCTGGCGACTGAGAGGAAGGCACAAATAAAAGAGCAGCCCCTGCAGATCGTCACCAGATTTACAAAGTTAGAAAGAACCGTGAGTGTCATCTAGTTTAGTTCCCACCCTAACCACCAGTGTACTGCAGATCACTAAGTTCATCCAAACTATTTAAATACTGACTGTGGAGGAAGGGGACCGTGAGCCAAGGAATGCTGGCGGCTTCTAGAAGAAGGCAGGGACAAGCAATGGAGCCTTCAGAAAGGAACACAGCCCTGCCGACACCTTGACTGTACCGCACTGAGACCCGCGTCAGACTTCTGAAGAACTCTAACGTAATACATTTGCATCGTTTTAAGCCACTAAATTTGTGGTAACTTGTTACAGCAGCAATAGGAAACTAATAGGCTTAGTTATCTCCAAAACCTTAAATCAAAATATTAACACTTTAGCCTGTTTCATGTGACTATAGGATAAAACTATCACATAGAAGAGTTTTTATTTCCAAACAAAATTAAATGCTCCCAGAGTTCATAGTGAAGTAATTATTAACTAAACTGTAAGTCAGGTACAGAAATTTATAGCAATACAATTTCTCAAAAAGTGAAAGTAAAGAGTGGAAAACACAGTCTTCTACAACATTAGCAAGTGGTCTGACAGCATTTACATTAATAAAGCAATTTAAAAATGACTCATGAAACGTCATACTCTTTGGGATACTCTCACCAGGCTTCAATGAAAAAAAGATGCTAAATTATTGATACTAGCAGTCATCATGGCTGCTATATTTGGTGTCTGGAGTTCTTTATTCAATACCACCTATGAGCTTTTTGTAGACCAAATGAGAACAAAGTCATTTAATGAAATCTCAAAACAAACCCATTCTAAACATTGGAGAAGATTTCATTACAGTACTTCCCTGGACTAGATGTATGTTGAGAAGTCCACACTTAAGTTAATGTAAGAGAGTATACACAGAGAGAAGAAATGACTGTTTTTCATATCTGAGATCTTGCACAGCCCCGAGAATGCAATTGTAAACTCCGATGAGCCCATGGGATATACTCAGTAAGAAGGTATAGATAGCTCTTTTTGTACAAAATCTATAAGCTAGACACAGGTATAAAAGGCAGAGGAAAAATAGTAATAGACTCTCTAAATAGCTCATGCAACTATAAAGCAAAAACCAATTTTTACATGGGTAATGCCAAGAAATGACTACCATATAGTAGAATCACAATTGTAAATATGCAGGGTGCACATACATACATGGAGATTGCTATTTTAGTTTGAGATTTACACGTTACCTGTGTGACATCTCTATAAGTTTGTATATTCCTTATGATACAAATAAAGCATCCTTTATTTACTCGGTTGTAATCTTAGATGTCAAAATTTTCTTAGCCTCCAAGAAGGAAAGTGTTTTAAAAAAAACAGTGAAAGTAGGGTTCACATAGT